AAGTACTCTAGATTCTTGTGATCTATAATTACCTTAAACTCTCAACTAAACGCAGTTAGAGTCCTATTCTTTAAAGGCATCGTACTACCGCGAGTAACTCCTTGTCGTGGATCTTATAGTTGCACTCATGCGCGCTATTCTTCCGCGAGAAGAACGCGCAGGGTTATAAGACTCCATTATCACCGTACTGCGATAGCACTCCGCCTACCGCGTAGCCGCTCGAATCGCACTCGAGCACTGTCTCCTGATCTAGGTCGAACGCCGCCAGCGTTAGCTCTATAATAAAGATCTCTTTTAGCTTATTAAAGGCTAATTGCTCTTTAGGTCCCTATTAGAAGGGGACGTTGCCTATAAGTCTAGTAAGAGGTGCGGCTAGCTGTGCAAAGTTCTTAATAAAGCTTTAGTAGAAGTTTGCGAATCCTAAGAACGATCTTACTTCCTTTACTGTCTTTAGTGCCTCCCACTCGCGAATTGCGGCTATCTTGGCTAGATCTATGCTTATCCCCTTGCCTGCTTTAATAATAAACCTAAGGTACTTAGTCGTCTTAACTTCGAACTCGCACTTCTTAATGTCCACTTGTAACCCTGCGGCTTGTAGCTTACTAAGTACTTTTTAGACATGCTCTTAATGCTGGCGCAGATCGCCGTTAGTATAGATTAGCACGTCGTCTAGATAAGCTAAGCAGAAGTCGTCTAGGTGTTCTCTTAAGGTCCAGTTAATATATCGTTGGAAGGTACTTAGGGAGTTCGCCATGCCAAAGGGGGTAACTAGCTACTCGAACAATCCGAATCTCGTACGGAAGGCTGTCTTCCACTCATCGCCTAGTGCGACGCGGATCTTGTGGAAGGCTGCGATAACGTCCAATTTCGTGAACCACTTAGCCTTGCTTAAGCTATTGAGCGTCTCTTGAATAAGTGGTAATAGATACCAGTCCTTCTTTGTAATCGCATTTAGAGCCTAATAATTGATACACAGTTAAAGCCCTCTCTTAGGCTTCTTAGCAAACAATACTAAAGCTAAGGCTAGCGAGCTGCTTACGCGGATAAACCCTTTCTTAAGAAGTAACGTAAGCTTCTTTTAGAGGACTAGAAGCTCTCTGCGCAACATACTATAAAGAGGTCCTTATAGCGGTTAAGCATCCCTTAGCTCTAGCTTAATCTTGTAGTCCACTCCTGGCCCTTAGTATGGTGGCAGCTTCTTAGCTTCTTTTAGGTTAAAGAGCTCGTAGAACTCTTAATACTGCGCTAGTAGTAGTGCTCGTACGTTTACGGGCTTCTTGGGTTGTAGCGCCTTATCGATATCTGCGATCAACGCGGCGAAGATCTAAACGCTGTTCGGAGCGTTCTTATGTCTGCGAACTAGGGCCGCAAACGCTGCAGCGTTGACTTAGCTAACTCCTCTTAGTAGAGCCCCTTTAGTTAACCTTACTTAAATACCCTTTAAGTAGATAAAAATGCTCTTCTTAGCGGGGGCTACTAACACGTCTTAGTGGTTCATCCATCCTCTACCAAGGTACACGTCCTCACTAGAGGACAAATTCATCACATATGCGTAGGCAGTCTCTTCGTACCTATGCATCTTAAACGAGAATCAGGCAACCTCATTAATCTCCAATAGCTTACCATTCACCCCCTCAATCATTCAAGCAGGTATTTAAAAGCGCTCTAGACAGTGGCGGTAAGCGAATCTCTTGCTAATTAGTGTATAGCATAGGCATCCGCAGTTAATAAGCGCAA